AGATCTTCAATTTTTCAAATACAGTGCCTAGATTCTAGTAATCCAAACTCTTAGAAAAAGACGTTAGTAGTAATATAGGTTTTTTTCTTGTTAAATGTAAGTTGTATAGTATAATCATAAACTAATTTTTCCTTCATCCTTGCAGGTATTTTGTTCAAGGTACCTTTTTGTTTTTGAAGAAGGGCATCATTACATAAGGAGCAATTTCATTATTAAAAATTAGTAATATAGCAATCATCTGTTTTTGTTTTCACTGTAAGAGTATGATGTGTAGAGCATATTAAATATGGTATAGAAAGTGATACAATAAGACTGAAATTGCTAGTAGATTAAACAAGAGAAGTTAGATTCAAATATTAAGGAAAGGCATTTATCTATAAATAAGATATAAATGACTTGACTTTTCATTAGTTTGTTTATTCCTGAAGACTAACTTCAAAAGTATTTTCTCCTAAAGGTTTAGTAAGAAGACATTATGAGAAAAAGGAAATGGATTCTGAACTGTGATTTGGCATATGATGGCCAGGTGTCTTAGAGGACAGGGCTGGTGAGATTTCCAAGCAGAGGATGCATCATGAAATCATACACACCGAATTATTAGAGAGGAATAAAAAGAGCTCAAGAGAATATATGTCTGGGTGCACTGAAGTGAGAACTAGGAGGAAATGAAGGAGGCAGAATGTGCTTAAAATCTCTTTGAGTTGAGAACTCAGGGACTGAAGTTAATAGAGAAAGAAAAAGAGCTAGTCCAAACAACTTAAGAATGGGGATGGGAGGGATGAGCAGGAGGGGGAGGGGGGAAGGGTTGGGGGTGGAAAGGGATGGTAAGGGGAAGCAAAGGAGGGGGAAAAAAAAGAATGGCGATTGCTATAACCCAAACACCGGGATAGAAAACACAATAGAAAACACAATAGAAAAACATGGCTGTTAAAATATATTTGAAAAAATAAGTTGGTGATTATCAGAAAAGAAAAATATATGTAAGGATTTAGCAAAAGCCCAGGGATATAAAACAAACAAAACTGAATGTAATACATGCTTATCTGACCCTGAGGACATACATAAAACTAGTCCCTTCTAACAGGACAATAAAAACAATGTATTCAACATACACTATGTAAAATAAGAGAAAAAAAACTATATTATGCTTCTGGTACATCAATTGCTACTACTATGACTACTACCACTAAAGACAGTGGGTAAAACAACAGATAAATTCTTACTATATGTCAAGCTTTCTATTGGAGGCTCTTCATATGTTAAATCATTGAATATTATTATTACAGTCATTTTATTTTACAGATGACAAAACAAAAACTTAGATGGTTAATTACTAGCTCACTGATACAGAACTAGAAAGTAGAAATATTAAGATTAGAAATTGATAATAGGACATTTTAAAAACTGTGTGCTATAGTCTACCTTTAGCAGCAGCAGTAATGGTTAAATGTGATAACTAATGTCTATGTAAATATCTAAAATATATATAAACATCATACATACAAATGCAATCATATATTATTTGCAGAAATTATGAAATGAGTCATTGGGAGTATCTGTTGCTGTGTGAATATCACTGAATATTTGTACTTTAAGATAGCTATGACATCACAGATGGTATGATTTTATGTGATAACCTTCATATATGCAATTTGGTGCATTTTTGACAGAAATATTATGCAGCACATATATAGTTATATCAGTGGTCATATCATTAGTTAAATATCTATATTGCATATGTAGTTATGTGTCCAAGCACTGCTACAATATGCAGATATTCTCAAAAGACAATGTAGGTCAGGTATAATGAGAGGAGTGTAGGTCATGAGGGCTCTAACTTCCTCATGAATATATTGATGATGATTTTAAACAGGAATGAAACTGCAAGTTCATGTCATGTTTTCTTTTATATAGTAATATCTTACAAAATATTCTCATTGTTTTGTTTGTTTCTGTAATTTACAGGGAAATAGTATTGTATTGGCATGGTCTCAGCTGGCTGTAAAACATTGTGTACATGAAGATTACCAACGCAATACAGAATTTTGTAGAAGTTTGCGATATCCTAATGACAAAAATTGAAAGTGAAAATAGGTTACATTTCCACCAAGTTTTGACACAGTGAGAAGCTTCCCACTAGATCTTAGACTTTCAAGCCTACAGAAACAAAGCTGAGTGCATTATAAATTACAAAGTGTGTGAGATGCAGTGATAGTAGCATATAGATAGGTGTATATATGTTAAATAAGTAGACTTTAGAAACCAAAGATTTTCATTATAGATTTCATTTCAGTTTTTCCATATTATTGCAACTAAAATACATTTTCAATTACGTTCATGTGAAAAAAACAATATAAGAATAAAATAGGGATACAGGTGGACTCATTGCAACAATGAGATGTACAAAACGTTATGTTGAAAAACAAACTTTACAACTCTGGTGTGGGGAGGGGAGGGGATAGAAGGGAAAAGAAAGGAGGAGGCAACAATGGTTGATAAGAAATGCACTCATTACCTTGCCCATGTAATTGTAACCCCTCTGTATGGTATTTTCACAATAAAATAATGTTCCAATCAAAAAAAAAATAAAATGCACAATAATATAGACAGAACATTTATTTTAATATACTCTTAATGTACTGGGCGCCGGTGGTTCACGCCTGTAATCCTAGCTACTCAGGAGGCTGAAATCTGAGGATCATGGTTCAAAGCCAGCCCAGGCAGGAAAAGTCCGTGAGTCTCTTATCTCCAATAAACCACTCAGAAAACTAGAAGTGGCACTGTGGCTCAAGTGGTAGAGTGCTAGCCTTGAACTGAAGAGCACAGAGACAGCACCCAGGCCTAGAGTTCAAGCCCCACAACTGACAGAAAAAAATATATTTATATAGATATACTCTTAATGTTATTTCTTCTCACAATGTATTTGAATTCAGTTTACATATTTTACAAAGATTAAAAAAATTCTGATAGAGGACAATCAAAAAGCAATAGAAATGGGCACTGATATCTCATGCCTTTAATCCTAGCTCCTTAAGACACTGAAAGCTAAGGATCAAGGTTCCAACTCAGCCCAGGCAGGGAAGTCCATGAGACTTTTATGTCCAATTAACCACCAAAAAGCCAGAGTGGAGCCATGGGTCAAGTAGTAGACCACTAGTCTTGAACAAAAAAAAACTCTCTGGGACAACACCAAGGCCCTGATTTCATGTACCAGGATCACACACACACACACACAAAACAGTGATGAAATTTGATAAGTGTTCTGACTTCTAGAATTTTACATGTCAAGTTATAATATAATATTCTACATACTATTATTTAAAATAATGACTTGTCAGTAAATGTGCCTCTAAACATAAAAGTTTGATTTTTAAATCCAAGAGGTAAGGAACAGAAGTTTTTTAGAAAGTGCTTCCAACCAAGCTGTCATTTCCTAGCATACTACAAACATTTTGTCATAAGGATATATATATATATATATTACCATGGAGCTAGAGTTTATCTTTTAGGTTTGTCTGGTTCTTGGACCAAAAAACAAGATGCATTGGGTAAAATTGAAGAAATACATTTCAGATTTGATTGACAATACGAAACTAGCATAAATGACCACTGAAAAATGTTTATGAATGGTATTTGCAGTTTTATTGACCCAATTTTGTCCTTCAAAGGACAATAAAAGATCTATGAAGTTAATATTTTACATTCACATTTGGATAAAAAATAAGTTTTAGGTTCTTACTAAAAGTCCTCAAAGCAGTAGAAAGAGATAACTACAGTTATTATATATATACATATATTTCCAAGAATAGATAATACAAAATGGATAGGATAATTCTCTCACATTAAAATATTATAGGCATTGTTGGTTCTTCTTTTTGAGTCATTCCTCAATGTTGCCAAGTAACACCCATTTTATCCCTTAAGGAGGCTTTCCTGCCCACTATACCTAAATGGCACACAATACTCTCCCACCAAAGTTCTAAAACATGAGGATACAGTGCTTTGTTCACTTGATGTTCTGTCTTCAAAGTAAGTCCCTAGCTCTTGTCTGTAAGTCCCTATCTTTACATTTTTACCTTCCGACACCTCTGTGAATCCATTTTTTATTTTTTATTGCAATATTTTTATTCTATTATTTTTTAAAAAATTATTTTTATTGTCAAGGTGATATACAGAGGGGTTACAGTTATATAAGTAAAGTAGTAAGTACATTTCTTTTTGACCTTTTTACCCCCCTCCCTAATTTTTCTCTCACTTTCCCTCCCCCCATTCCTTCTCTTATTAATCGCTTCAAAATACTTTTTTGTTTATCTAAACTACAGGATTATTACCTTTTGATACAAACTTTTCACATTAATTCTTATTATATGGGATTTTTCTGTGTATGTCTATATATCTACATGTCTTTTAACCTTCATAATTTACCATATGATGAAATTACTATCTTACAATCATTTTGCAAAAAAATACATTTAAGTGATTACAAAATTAAAGCATCAATGCATTATCTTCTCAGAGGTATGAAGACTTCAATAGCCTAACACTGATTAAATAAAATAATGACAAAGCCTGCTATGGTGGCTCACATCTATAATCCCAGATACTTATAAGGCAGAGATGGGAAGGAACTCAAATTTAGATTTAGACAAGTAAAAAAGTTCATAACACTTTATTCTCAAGCAATGCAAAGCTGAGCAGAAAAAAAAGAATTAATAAAGACAGGTTTTTTTTGTAGTTCCTATGTGAAAACAAAATGCCCCCTCTTTTTGTTCCTCCTTACTTTAGCTTGTTAAAGTAAATCCTTCATAAACCTTTGAAAAGGGGAAAAAAGAACAGATTGTCTGATACAAAATAATGGAAAATAGTTTCCTGCTTTTTTGTATCAGTAAATAAAAATACTTTTATGAATAATGATGTTCATAGATTTCTTTTTTAACCATACCATTAAAAAAAAGTACTAAGACCAGAAACAGCTTAAAAACAGTAAAAAAAACAATTACCTTTGCTTGCACTCTCTACATGTTCCAGTTCTTCAGGAAACTTCAGAATATCTCTGTATTTCTCTTCACAAAGTTCAGCAAGAAAATGCAAAAGTGTTGTTTTTTGATCTGATGACTTTGTATCTCTAATCTGGAAAGAAACAAGATGAAATTTTTAGCATTTTTTAGTCATTTAAATAACAAATATAAAAACAAAGATAATGAAGAGTGAATTCAATTCATTGTAAATCATGTAAGGTTTTTGTTTTTTTTTTTTAAGTTGTAGGTAAGTTTTTAATGGGGACTAGTGATCATACTGTGGATTTTAAAAATAAGCTCTAAATAACCAATAAAATAAGACTTATTCAATATTTTTAAAGATGTCTGAATTTTTGTGACAAACTATTCCAGTCATGAAAGAACATATATTTGATTTGTAGTAATAGTCCCAGTTAAAGTGTTTGTTAGTTGCATTCTGTTGTCACTTCATTATAACAACATATTTTTGAAAGTTGGATTAACTTATATTTGTTTCCAGCTTTCACTGACATAAATTAACATAATAGATTAAGCAGTCGTTATACTTCTTTACCTGAAAAATTGAACAGAAAATAATTTTGAGACACCCTTTTTTCCCCCAAAATACAAAAGGTTTCTAATCACAGAGTAGTGATAAAAATTATTAGCTTATATATTTTATTTCATTTTCAGAGACACTAAAGACAAATGGCATAGTCAGAATGATAAAAAAATTATAGTACAGAAAAAGTACATATGTAAGATAAAAATCTAATGTCTTTATTATAACTGTTTTATAACTAGACTAAGCTGGCAATGAAATTAAGGATTATTTAGAAACAGAATAAACTACAAAGTATCAAATTTTCTCATTCTTTTGGCTGTTTTAATTCTATAATCTTTAGATGAGGGGTTTGTCCACTGATGTTTATACTGAGTCAGGTGTTTTAGCTTTAAGGATTACTCTGTTTAAAATAAATCAGTATTACTCACGAACAGGTTTATTAAAAAGTTGCAGAGGATATTTAGGTAATTACAAAGCAAATTAACCTGTATGGTTTTAGTGATTAAGAAAGAAAAAGGGAGTATTTAATAAAATTAGGCCATATTGTCTCTGTTTTGTATCATAGCTATCAACAACCATACCTATCCTGATGATGTAACCAACTTCAAGGAAATATTAGTCTCAAGGCTCCATCCACATAAAGAGACATAATGCTTACAATTCAAGTGCTTGTAATTATTTCTTTTAAAATTTCTAAGATGATCTTATCACATATAGGTAAAATATTAAAATTTTGCATACTCACAAGCATCCACTAAATACACTGCAGTACTACAAGGTAGAGTGACACAATCCAAGGACTAGCTAGCAATCTGTCTTCAGTAAAGCTAACAGCCAGAGAGCTGGGAGGCTCTCATTCCAGAAGAGAGATCTTCACCTGGGGATTACTATGATATATGCTTACACGTTCCGTTATTTTCAGAATTTGGTGACTATTTCAATTTATAAGTAAATTAACATTTTCTGCTTAAAAATTATTTATCCTCCTAAATCCTAAAAAGACCAGATGCTTAGGGAAATTTCAGGTATTGCTCCCTAAAGTAATCTGATTTATATTTTATGAAGTCTATGGAGGCAGAGACAAAAACAAAAACAAAGAATACAAAAGACCAACAAAACCCATCTCATTTTTAATGGAAACCAAATTGTACAAGTATATTGTAGCTGTAAAAAATGTGCATGCCTAACATGGAAATGAAAACAGAAATAGAACATTTGCAGCGTGTTCATATATCAATTTTATATGTGATCTTTTTTCTTTTTCTCACATATTTTGCATTATAAAACTTAGGCTCTCTATGTATCCCTAGAAAAAAATTATTAATATTTATTCAACAATAATAATACAAATAATTTAATTTCTCTTATGAAATTCAGCAGTGTCAATGCTCATATTTTAAAATATAAAGCATAACATTTCAGTTAAATAAATATCTTAATTTCCACGATGAAATCAGAAAGGTTTGTCATAGGCTGAGTACAAATATGCTTTTTTTGAATCATAATATTCCCTTCAAAGCTAAGGCAAATATGGTCAAGTGTCTGTCTTGTCAAACTGAGAAATATTTGGGCTGGAAGACAAACTGCTTAATACATATTGCAGTATTTATTTAAATAAAACCCTCACACAGTCAGTTTTCATGTTTCAAATTGGCAGAAAATCATGAGAAATAAGTAGTCTTTTAAATTTTCTGCAAATAAATGTCTTGTAGATTAATTTTTTAAGGAAATAAATAATAGTTGGAATGTGACCTAAGTGATATAGCAGTTACCTAGGAAGTATGAAGCCTTGTACTCAAATTCCAGGACAATATACGTATATATATATATATATATATGCATATATGTATATATGATGTATAAATATTCATATTTATACACATACATAAAAATACGTACAAGTATATATACATGAAAGAATTGTTTTCCTTAGCATATTACATTTACTTTGTATTTTAAAAACTAAATTTTACTATTATAATTAAGGTGTTCTACAGAGGGGCTACCACTCAGGTAATGAGTATATTTCTTTTTTGGAGGACAATTTCAACTCTTCCTTTAGTTTCCTCCAGTTTCCCCCTCCTATCCCTGCCTAATTTATGTTGTATTTTGATAAACCTCTCTCACCTCATCCATACCATTCACACTTTCTGGCTTTGTTTAGTTCATTGTCAGCACACAAAGCAACTAAAAACATTCAGTGTCATTAATTATAAAACTTAATGGCATTTACCCAATAATTGGCTTGCATAAGTATAAATCGCTGGATAGATACATCTCTTGGGGTAGAACAAGAGTAATCTCATCTGAGTGTATACAAAATCACTTTCAAAGAGTATAGGTCAGTTTATTAAGAAATAAAATTGATTTGCATTTGATAGCTGGTTAGCCTGAAATCTAGTTAAAATTTGACATTAACATCACATAGGCAAACATTTTCCCAGCTCCTAAGTCCCAGTGGTAAAGATCTAGCCTGTGTTAAAAGGCTTGCTCTAGTCAGAAGCAAAATGCCTTTTGTCATTCCTGTCTGTACTTGCCTCTGCTTTCTTCTCCCTAGCCAAAGTTAAGCAGGGCAGGCAAGATACATGACTTCTTTTTATAAAACACAGAAGGCAGAACAAAATGGCCACTTTACAATCCTCCTGCTTGAATACATTTTTCAAACAATAAAATAAACACAAATAGCAGCTTCAGAAATTAGAAATATTTGAAAAGGTTAAAATGTTTTTTAACAGACTTATTAGTGAATGATAACAATGATGACAACTGCATTACCTTAGTGTCATTAGTTAACAAACCATGTACAAGTTATAATTGTATTTGTTTGACCAATAAATGTTGCACATAAAGATTAGCAGCTGAATTTAAATAAATTCCCTCTACTTAATCTTAATAACTTTGAAATGGTACATTACTAGAAAATACCTCAACTAGAACAAAACCTACTTCTATAGTTTAACTAGATAGTTTCTCTTTTAAATAAGTATGAATGTTACATGAAAAATATAATATCTATCTTTTGAATGTTTAAATACATGACAAAAACTTCAGTTATGCAGATTGCAAAATAACTGAATGAATAATTGACACTTAAGAGAGTTGTGTTTTTTTTCAATTTCCATACCCTCCTGCAAGCCAGAAAATTGTCAGTCTTGCTATTGCTCTGAAACCCGACTGTCTGAATCCACAGCAAGCCGCACACAGCCAGAGAGCTGGAGACAAGATTTTAATGATGTACCTCAGTCACACTCATTCATTCTGTGAAGGACCCCTTCTGTAGGTAATTTTCTCTTTGGCTGAGATTGAAGCCTATTTCTTATTGCTTTGTCCCCAGTGGGAAACGAAAACAACTGGTCACTATCCTCTGTATAACAACCTCTCACAGAGGGTAAGTTCTCTTCTCTTCTGGTTCTGTTTGCCAAGCTAAACAACTGCAGTTCATTTACCCTCTTGACACAGATGCTATTCTTCAAATATTTAAATTTTTTCATGGTAATTGGGCTCTATTCAAAATGTCCATTTCCAAGGTTCCCATGATCATGTGGAAAAACATACAAATATCTAGGTTTTGCATACAGGCTCTTCATTAGCTGGCGCTGGTCTGTCTTCCTAAACTCCTTCCTGCTGTTTCCAGTCTGATCACAACTGCTTCAACATATACCATGCAGTCTCAAACCACTGTGCTAGCTTTCTACATGCCTTCTCATCTCCTTTTTATCTGTGAGGTAGATTCCTACTCATTGTTAAAGACTATCCCAGTATACCTCATTTCGGAAGACTTCTTTTTCACATGATTGATTAAGGATTTGGGGGTGATTGATGTTCTACATTGTATACATTTCTAAACATGTGTCTGTCAATGAATACATTACCTTCTTCAGGGGAACAGAGTTCCAATTTAAGAATATCTTTGATCCAGAATAAAAACAAGAAGGATGGAACATACTAGGGATTTAATAAATGTTTTGAATGAAAATTTCCCTCACTTTTAACCTCCATTTGAGTAGGCTTTAGAATAATATTTGCACATTTAACTTTACTCTTGATTTTACACACACGCACACAGACAAGAGGTCAGACTGTTCCAGGACAATGTACATGCTGAGGTAAGTGCGAGTGAATGCCCAAATAAAGATATTTGTCTCACTGCAAGCAGGAGACTCTCCGGAAATTTTAGATGAGATTGTTAAGGATATATGAAAACTTTGAAGACTCGATTTCTGACTTTTGTAGAAAATGCAAAGTTCTACAGAAAAGAGGTGATGCATAGAATTCTGGAATGGCAAATACTAAAGACTTTTCTAATTAAAATGACAGAGTAGGTATGGAAGTAAAAGAAAGGGCAAATTTTAGACACTGCAGAAAAAAAAACAAGATTTAATCAGTGGACAAAAATAAAGAAATGAAAAACAACAGAAAAATTTCAGAACGTTTAGGTTATAATAAAAGAATGATACCTTGTTTGTAATCATTTGGGTAAATGCCCAGAAGGGGCATTGCTGAGTCATAGGGGAGTCCTATCTGGAGTCTTTGAGGAACCTCCATACTTCTTTACAGGAGTGGTTGAA